CATAGTCCAATTGTGCATACAGAGGAGTAAAATATCAATTAGTTAGCAATATCCATCCAAGCATATTTGTACAAGAGCAATTATATGGAGTCTCTAGGCAACCTAGTTGTTCTTTATTTGGAAAATTTTCATCCGTAATTACAGAAAACACAATATCAAACGTTGAAGAATTACTTTAAAATGTGTCCTTATTAACATAAACAGACTCTCTTAAAATAAACACACGAATGATCAAAAACATTTCAGAGTGCATCTCTGTCAGTAAATTAAAATGGAATGACAATGAGTTGCAAAGAAGAGAACAAACCCAGAGTCTGTTCAACTCAATAATCATGGTTCTGAGCTCACCAAGACAGCGTAGGGGCCATGCCCATTTTCACGGAACATCCTGCAGCGAGACAGGTCCATTTTGACCTCAATTACTGAAGGATGCCTGGCCTATTGTGACCTCAAACACTGCACAAGGACAGGTCAGCTGTGACCTTACTTACTGCAGCTGTACAGGCCCATTAGCCGCTGACTCACTGAAGGGAGACATCCTCGTTGTAACCTCACACATTTATGAATGTCAGGATTTTTGTGACGTCACACAACTCGAGATAACTCTTGATTGTGGTGCGCCTGTCACATTAGACAGTGGTGAGGCACTCTTCGTGGGTGTATCCAGTTGAATAAAGTTTGAACGCATCAATGAATACTTACAGAGTTTATTGGTGATTATAACAAAGCAGAAACATGACAAAAAAACTTTCCCAGAAATTTTGTTTGGTGCTGCGTGGACTGAGAGTTTATTACTGTTGATATTTAGGTCTGATTGTCATTCCTTTGCAATTTAAAACATTGACATTCAGCTAACGGTAAGTTCCCAATCCCGAGCAATATGGAACGTGATCGTTGAGTAGTATTATCGCTGGACTGTTAATCCAGAGATGCAGGTAACCGATTCGAAACCCACACTTTGAATCCAAGGAAAATCTTGATTTAGGAGTCCAATGATTACCATGAATCCATTTTCGATTGCCAGAAAATGCACATGGTTTATTCATGTTAGTTAGGGAAGGAAACTGTCATTCTTGCTTTGCCTGGTCAACATGCGACTCCAGAACCACAGCAATGTGGTTGACTTTCAAGAGCCCTCTTGGCAAATACAGATGGGTGGTAAATATTGGTCAAGTTGGCGATGCCAACATCGCATTAATACTTAGAAATAACAACAAAGGAGAATAAATGTTAGGTGTTTGGGCAAAGTACTATTAGGACAGAAGGCCCGGGCTCAAGTTAAGGTGAAACAATACCTCTGGGAATGTTGTTCAGGAAATAATGAAACAGCTATAAGAGTACAATTAGTCGTATCTGGACCTGGAAGCGAGGAAATCTCCCCTGGTCCAAAGATGTTAAATCCCACACTTGAAGATTGTTCAGAAAATATGTAAACTAGCATTACAGCTGACACGAATGTCTTTGAGCTAAAAAAGAAAATGAGGTTACTCTCGTTTTTGACAAAGAGGGTCGGAGTAAGACTGTGTGTTCAAAGCTATGCCCTTTTGATCGCCCAATTTCACTTGATGGAGCTCATCAAAATCAATAATATTTTAGACAAGGATGATTGCAGTGAAAGATAGATTATATTTATGACAATATAACCTTTAAAATATCTGAAACAGAGTGTCGAAAATAAGAAGATCTAAAGATTCCATGCTAAAACGCGAAAGGAAACTGTCATCAGTTGAAAAGTTAATGAGCGATAGAAAATACGGGAGTGAAAAACAATGGAAATACGTGTTTCAAATTGATGCAGGTAAAATAATTTAAATGATTTAAATGCTCGCTGATGTTGTATTACTCGAGTCACTTTATGCCTCCTGTCCACTTGTGCTACTGCTTTAGTTGGTCTTCAGCAGTTAACATTGCAAAAGTGCAAATTGTAGACAAACTCCTTGAGATCCAGGCTTCACTATTTCCGCTCCATAACGGTGGCTGCCATCGGCAGCCATCGCGCACTTTCTTCTTTCTTTCGATATCGCATTTGGCAGCCCACTGTTCTCTTTGTTGCGTGCAATCCGTTCTGAATTGTTCAATTGAGAGATTGCTGTTGCCAGTACACTCCTGCGATTGGTTAGATCAGAAACAAAAATGAAACAGCGACCTGTAATTCTGCTACAACTGAATGTTTCCTGCTCGAAAGACAAAGAGACTAAAGAAGAATCAAACAGAACAATCTCTTAACCCCTCCTCATATTAACTCACGACAGGACGGGTATTTCTTGTCTATAAAATTCCACTCTCCCATGCCTGATGTAAAATCTGTAAGAATGGTAAAGATGGTTATATGTGCCTCAATGAAGATAGTCCTAATTGTTGACGTCACTATTATATCTGGTTGCTGCAGCTGTAGGAAATAGTGTGACATCCAATTATTGGTATGACTGTTGAAGGGGAAATTGATGAAACAATACGATAAGCCTTGAACACAAATATTCACACTAGTTCTGATATATTCCGCATCCATGCAGTTTGGATGGAGTGAATGAGAACAGGAATTTCTAAGCTCTGAAGTAATTTTCCCTTCATGTTTAATAGAACCATGAAAAAAAACTAATGTAACAATCGGTAACACCCTGAACTCTGATATTGATATCATGAAAAGTACAAAATGCCGCAAAGATCTTGACTGAAACTCCACAATGAGATGTCCATGTATTGCTTGGCAGACAGCGCGATTTGGCAAGAGAAAGGGACATATGTTTCTAGGGTTTTCTGGCCGGTTTTCCGTTAATCTGGAACAAGAAAACAGCTCAATAAAATAATGTCAGAGCTCTTGTCATCTACTCTCCCATGTACTACGGCGCACTGATTACCACACAGTGACAGAGGCACTGTCAGTCCGTTTAATAAAAAGAAAATCATAACGCACCAAGTCACTAGTTCGGATCTGTGATCCCCATTGTGCAATATTAATTTTGTAAAAAAAACTTAGAACAGCCAGCTTTTCCACAGATCGTTTTCTGAGTTGCTTTCTGTGTGGAATCCTTGCCTCTAATATCTATTGCTTATGATACAACTCGTTTCAGACATCCAAACCACAACAACGTTCATCGTTACGCATCACTGGCCAAATTCGTGGATTGACACTTTTAAGAACCTGCGTTGGCATTAATTCCCATTTCGACATTCTGTTACAACACGGACAGCAGCCGTTTTCAGTTTACTTCAGACCATGTCGACAGAGTTGTGATATTAATGGGAAAGGGATTGAAAAGGTTATGCAGGAGAGTGGATGCATCAGAAATTACAAAGTGTTCCATTTTACGGCCGAGCAGGTTTAAAGGCCAAATGGTTTCTGAACCACGGAATGTGCGTTTCTGCGACTAGTTCTTTGACGTCATTGACTTCAGAACAGAGGCATTGTGAGTTGTTTGGGTGATGCGTAGTTTTCCTGCCATTAAAGGACCAATCAAAGTGATTTCAGATATGACTCAACATCTTCCCAAAGCTGAGTTGAAACAATTTATCTTAAAGCCACCATCAGCTCTCAGCTGAGACTATTCAGTTTTAGCTACCTCTACTTAAACCCACCATTCGCTTTCTAAATATGTCGGCTCTTACCATCTAATTATTCCTATCTGCTACAGTTTTCTTAACTGGTAAGTTTCTGTGTCGCAAAATGTTCACTTGTGTGCAATATGGGGACAGCAAACTTCTTTTTTGCCTGTGGTGCTCCGCATTAAAATATATGCACTGAATTTGTTAACATTGATTATAAATATCCTTTTTAAGCCCTTGTCTTTTCAATTTTCTGCAGGTGTTAGTTGTGCAGTCTCCGTCTCAAAAGGACCGGTTACAATGATACCAAAAGAAGAAAATGCAGTGACCATTCATTTCCGTTGTTCAATCAGAGGTGATTGATTTACTTTGCAACTGGATTGTCCATTGATGAGTTGCAGCTGTCTGGAAATGCGTTGTATTACTGCGGGCTGAGCGACACATTGACAGGAACCAGAAGGCATCCCGTCACTGGTAGAGTTGGGAGTAGCATTTACTTCCTAACATTAGACCAGAATGCGCTGAATTCAAATAAACCAAAGTAATTACCAAATGAAACACATAAGTGCAGCACTGGGCAAGATTTCCTCTCCTTACTTACGTTGAATACATTGTGAAAAAAAAAAAAGTCAATATGTGAATAGAGAGTGCACAACTTACAAATTAAAGGCATTGTTATCCAATTACTGTTGACTCTACAAAATCTAACATTGTGATTTACCCGGTAAAGAAGTTGTGCAAAACAACAGCTACAGATCACTGCGGGACGCGTTCTAAAATGACAACAGCACTATCAGCCTTATCTGGTTCATCCAGATTTTCAAAAACAATTCCTTCAATCTTTCTGGTATGTTTTCAGTTTGGCTTTTGACCTCGGTCTGGTTTCTGGTCATCCAGTAATCATTCAAGAACTCGGAGCTCACCAGGCCTGTGTCGCAGATGACATTTGTATTTATCTCTGTTGATTACCTTCTCGCTATATCATGATAACACTTTCATTGCGCCTGCTAATAATATCTATATTTGGAATTAATATGTGTAAGTTCTTTTAACATAGAGAGATCTGTAATCAGTGTATAATAATTATTAGGACTTTCACCGGGCAGGTTTCAGTGTCTACTGAAAACTGATATTTCAAATAAAAACTACTAGCTCCTTTGCAGCGAGGTCTTTCTCAAACTGCCAGGCAAGGACACATCTCGTCATACATGAAGCATTTGCTTTCTTCCTGGCAGTTGTGAATTCACTGATTTCCCCAAATAAACGTAACTGTTTGCTCCTTTACACTGTCAGCGTCAATGTGAGAATCAATAATTCATGTGAACGATTTTAAATGATGTGTGTGAGAATTATGCTCGAAGTTTTGCTGCACAGAAATGTACGAAGCATCAGTATGTGAAACCCAGTTATAAACAGCCTTCATCTGGCAACAGCTGTGACCCAGAAAACTACAGCAGTTATTGTACGATACTGTCGCTTTTTCTCATGAGTGTGAAGCTCGCCGCACAGTAATAGACAGCGGTGTCAGACAGCAGCAGATCCGAGATCGTCGATCGGTACAACTTATCTGACTGCTGGACTGTACTAGAAAACCGCTTCTGAGCGAAATCCTTCTTAAATTCAGCATCACTAGTCTCGAAAGCCCGGACTGCGAACTCGGGCTTTCTTCCACGGGACTGGCGGTACCAGAACAAGTAATAAACGTTACCGGTGTACGTGCAGGTTAAAGTGACATATTTCCCCTCTGTTTGCGTGAATGAGGGCTCCCGCTGAGTAACAGAAACGCCATCGCTCAGACCTGAAAGGCAAGCTTGAGAAAGCAGGAATGATGAATTAAGGGTTCAGTTGAAAGTTTGAACTGACATTTAAACAAAAAGAACTGACATTCGCTGTGACATGAAATTGGGCAGGATTTTGAACATGAAATTTAAAAAAAAATCACAAGGAACACCATATGCCCGCGAACGCAGTTCTGAAGATGGCTTTTCGGACGAGAAATTGCTTTAATTCTGATCCAATCCATGATGCTTCCAGATGTATGGAGTGCTACCAGCATTTTTTGTATTTTTCTTTTGAACATAAACCTAAGTCAGAAAAACTGGCCAATATTGGTGTTAGCGATCCATAAGAGAATCCAAGTTACCCAATGTTCTGATTTTGCATGCCCATCTTTTCATCTCTTCGTCATCTGTTTATCTGACATCCCCTTCATGACGTTATAGTCTGATTCAAACACTCCTTATTCGAAGGCGAAGACAGAATTCCCTTAAGTTTTCTTTTGGATCATTATTCAGCCTCTTATGAAGAATCACCGTTTTGATCATTCGTTTTAAAAGTGATTATCTCGTAATACTGAGATCATCACTCCAATTACTCCTTTTACGCGTTGTGTCCTTTTCTTCTTCTTGTAAGACAGAGAGGAAATGGTTTCACAACAGCTCAAGGGGAATGCAACCAATGCCTCATACGTATTGAAAAGAATATGCTCATTATGCATCCACCCTGGATTAGTTAAAAATACACTCGCATCAAATAAACCCGATAAACAGATAGCAGTACAACGTTCCAGGAAACTAACAGTGGGGTTGTGGAAAGGTTGACCAGTATAACACACATGCAGAGAAATTGCTCCAAAGACAAAAAAAAAGATCCAAATGTGTGGAGTTTAGATATTCAGCGCTTGTCTGCGTGCGTTTCCTCCAGGTGTGCCAGTTTCCTCCTACAGCCCAAAGCTGTACAGTTAGGTTGATTGGTCATGCTAAATTGCTCCATGATGTCCATTGTTGTGGAGGCGAGGTGGATGAGCCAAGGAAAATGCAGTCTTAAAAGGATGGCGTTGTCTCTTGGTGGTATGCTCTTCGGAGAGGCGGCGTGGATGCGATGGGCCAAATGGCTTGCTTCAACATTGTACAGAATCTATAATTTCTACTCTGTGAATAAATTTACAAATGCTGGTTTCAGTGAAAATACGAGTTGGAATAAAATAATATTAGTCCATCAGTCATCATCAACTTTCCTTGTAAGTTGTTGAACTATGTTATAGCTTTTGGGTGGCATGGTATCTCCGAGCTGCCTCACATTGCTGGAAGGCTGGGAACCATTCCAGCCTGGACTGACTGTCTGTGTGGAGTTGTCCGTTTTCACGGTTTCCTATGGGTGCTTCTGTTTCTTTCCATTTTCCAAAGGTGTGCGGGTTAGGAGTGTTGATAATGTTAAATTTCACATAGTGTTCAGGGATGTACAGGCTGTTTGGATTTGGCTTGAAATCACGGGGCTAGGGTGTGTTTTAGCCGGATAATCTTCGGACAGTTGGAGACGACTCGATGGAACGAATGTCCTGCATCCACGCTCTAAGGATTCTGTAACATTTTTTTCGGAGAAGGTCTCTGCAGGTGTGAAATTATTGTTTCTGTTTCTTGTGTGACAGCACCATCCGATGGACACTACTGGAACACTCGATGCGGGGAGGGATGAATGTGTTTGGAAATGATCGATATATCTCTGTTTCAATGTTAGCTTCATGTCACAGAAATAGAACATGCTGTCAGATAAAAGGGTCACGGAGATACGTACAGGAACCGCTTTGTTTCTTTTGCATGTTTTATTCAGTAGAGAACCTATTTGCTTCATTTGAAGTTTTCTCTTCAACGCCCGTGAAATACATCTTCAGGCAACATCTTAGAGTTTTTCCGAGCTATTTCGTGTACCAGAACTGCACCACAGAAAGAATAGCTGCGTGTAATGACACTCGATTACCACGCTCTGAGTTTCTAGAATCATGAATTCAGATGAATCCTGAGACACCGAATACTGCCCAGCCAAACCTGAAACAAAAATTCAGATTGATCGAAAATTCAGGAATAACGTATAATTCCTGGATGATATACCAACTATTTTACCACAGTCTGTGCAGACAGGAAGACGGTGAAAAGGAGGGAAAGCACGGGGAGCACATGATGGTAGGATGAGAGTTGTATACAAAAATAAGCCAGAAGGCTTACGATATGTTTACCCATTTCAGAGTCAGTAATCGCTTATTGAGAAATTGAGCGGAGTTTTCAGGAACAGGATTTGCTGTTCTGTCAGAACCAGTGACAGTTATGCTCCAATCAATGAAAGTTGAATAAAATTACTTTCTACTTTCTCTTTCTCAGTGAACTGTATGTTATTCGGTTCATTTTATCAAACTTGGTGGCTTTCACGGCCTGTGGTCTCTCTCCCATCCCTTCCAGCTCTTCATGACGGTGTGGAGTCTGGGGAAAGAAAATAACCAAAAAAAGAGAGAAGTGTCTCACTCTTTTGATAAATAACACCACATCGGATTGAAGTAAAACAAAGAACTGTGCAATTTGTATATCTGAAACAAAAATGAAATTTCTGGTGAAATTCAACAAGTCTGCAACTGTGAAGCGAAAGCAAAGACAACGTGTAGAGTGCAGTGACCTGTTCAGAAGAATAGAGGAACTATACCTGGTGCAAGAGGAGATTTCAGTGCAAAATGGCGGCACATTAAATCGCTCCTGCCGGAACTCCTCTGCTTCCCCCGTTCCTTTTAATTTTACTTTATTTTCTCTTCTATTTTCTGCATTTTGTCTTCCCTGCTCTCTAATCAACTTTTACGTTCTTAAACTTACCAACAGGGAATGCGGAAAGGAAGACGTGAACATCTGCGTGAGAAGAAGTCCGACACTAGGCCAGCACGAGACACATGCCATAGAAGAGAATCAAGGGCTGGATCGGGGCACGGGAAGCATTCTGAGCCCAGCCAGCATGACAGACGAGTCCTGGTGGCGAGTCGAGTCGAGTTGGAGAACCGATCGGCAGGTAGTCTGAGCCTGGAGCAGTCTTGAAGACAATTTCTACAGGCGAGCTGGAAACTGGCGTGGGAGGGATTCCGAATCGAGTCCAGCCCAAGCAGATGAGTTTTGGTGGTGTGGTTTTGGCCAGAGGCTAGCGCAAGGAGGCTGCGAGCTCTTGAGTTCTGAAGCCTGGCTGGTAAGGGCCCAGATTAAAGAACCATAATTTGAGTACATTTTACAGATGATTTTGTTCGTAGTCGAGACTTTGAGGAATCCTATCTACGTATTCCATGCTAGATTCTTCTTTACTCATTCAATTCTGTAACAATCACCTACATATCTGTAACTAGGCATCCTCCATCTAAGATGCTGCCAGAGCGGTGACATTTCAAGCTTTGCACTGCACTCATTCGAGTGCACATGATACAAAAGTCTGTTCAATTGTATTTTGTCTCTTTCTATTTGTCTCCTGAAAAGACAATGACATTTCTGTAATTAGTAGATTATAAAATGGAACACTCCAGCGTTTGCCAGAGACATTCTTGAAGATAGACTCATCCTGAACTACACATTAGGGAAAGTGAGAAACAGTTCAGAGAAAGACCTTGGGCTTTCAGAACTGACTTCAACGGGGAAAGTATGGATTTTATGTTCCAGTGAGCACCTATAGTTCCCATTATTGGTTGAAGGATCTTTCTTTCTTCCACTGAAACTCTCAAAATATACATGAACTATTTAGATGAGCGTTTTATATGTTAGAACACACAAGTCTATGGGCTAAATGCTGGAAACTGAGATTATAATAAATGGATATTGATGACTAGCACTTACAAGCTGGACTGAAGGGGCTTTTCCGTGCTACAAAAACATGACTAGGTCAAGTCTAGAGGAAAACAATTTCTCCAGTGAAAACAAATTGAGATAAAGAGAACAAAATCTATGTCATTAAGAAAGGATGTAAACCTGGGAGGTGTCTTCCCTGAGAGGAGGGTGGAGGGATTAGGATTCGGGACATTCTCTCCTGCAAAATAACTTTGATTTCTGATAACGAAAGGGAGTTTTTTTAATACTTCTAAGAACGGATAAAATGTCTAGGAACACCTACCAGTGACAACGGCAACAACAGAAGATCTGTGTCGGAATTGCTGGTGGTTTTATATTCGAGATGAAAGCATAGCACGGGATTGGGACCATTTCGCATATTCTTCTGCAACAAAAACAGAAATTGCTGGAGAAACACAGCAGGTCTCGCAGCATTTGTGAAGAAAAATCAGAAATAACGTTTTGGCCTCAATGACACTTCTTCAGAACTTGTAGTAGCGAGAAAACAGTTGGTTTTAATGTAGGAGAAGTATAAACTAAAGGTTGATACGAGGTACAAAGAGAGACAATCAAAGTTGGAGGATAAATGAGTGGATAACGGTCAGCCAATGAGAATAAATAGTTGCTCACGAGAATTATTAATGTCTAACAATGGAAGTGGTAAATGTGGGCACAATGATGACGTATAAAAGTCCCTTAGATAAGGGAATGAATCAGGAGGCATGTGGGCCAAGAGAGGGAAGATAGGACTACTTTACTTTGGGATTATGTTCGGCATAGACCAGAGAGACCCAAGGGCCTGCTTCCATGCTGCATGATTCTATTATTCATTGATAACAAGGCCTGATGTGTCTGTTTGGGGCAATGTGTGGGCAAGGATCTGAAACCCAAAAGTTGTTGAGTTCGATACTGAGTACAAAAGGCTGCAGAGTACTCAAACAGCAAATGAAATGCCATTCTCCCAGCTTGCGCTGAGCATCACTGGACCACTGCAGCAAGCCCGAGACAGAGATTTTCACCGGGGAGCAAGATAGTTCGTTGAACTGGCAGACAACGGCAAGCACGGGGTCATTTTGTGGACAGAATGTAGGTGTACTGTGAAACAATCTCTCCATCTACACTTCATCTCCGCAACTTCGAGAACACTGAATGCAGTAGACTATGCTGAGTGAAATACAGGCAAAGTGCAGCTTCACCTGGAAGGTCTGTTCAGGTTCTTAGATATTGAAGAATGACTTAGTAAACGGGAAGGTGTTACAGCTTCTGCAGTTGCATTGGAAGGTACAGTGAGAATGTGGCGAGCGATGGAAATGAAGAAGAAGAAGTGCACCTTGGCGTTCCAGATAGAAATACTCTTGTACAAAGCAGACAAAAGAGGGGAGTGAAATATATCTCTGGTGGTGCCAAAACACTGGATGTAGTGGAAGTAGCAGCTAATAATTCTCTAGATGTGAATGCTGGTGGGATGTTTGGTGAGGACAAGGGGCAACTCTTTCGCTTTTGTGGTAGCGGACAGAAGGTTTGACAGCTGAAGGGCAGGAGATTTCTCGGACACAACTGCGTGCCCTATCTATTACGGTGCTAGGAAAACATTGGTTGTGGAAGAAAGTGAATATTTCGTAGGCATTCTTTTCGGGGTTGCCATTATCAGGACAGATGCAAAGGAGACGGAGGAACTTGGAGAATGGAATGAAATCTTCGCCGGAATTAGGGTAGGAGGATGTACAGTCAAGGAAACTCTGGATGCTAAGTCATTTGACGTGAATGCTGGTGGATAATCTATCCCAAGAAATGGAAACATAGATTTCGCGGATGTGAAGGGAGCATTAAGAGATCAGCCAGGTGAATGTGAGAGAGGGGTGGAAATTGAAATGAAATTGATAATCTTTTCCAATTCCGATAAGGGACGGAAGCAGCAGTGGTGACATAATCGTATACCGTAGCAAGAGTTGTGGGTCGCAGATGGATAAGACTGTGACAAGATACCTTCCACGTATCCCACAAACAGACAGGCATAAATGAGCCCCTTGCAGGTACCCATGGTCAAATCTTCTACCTAAAGAAAATGAGAGAAGTTTAAATAGAAGTAGCTCAGAATTGAAGCGTAGGTCGGCCAAGCGGAGGAGGGTCATGGCTGATGGGGATGGTCAGGATCTTTTCTCGGAAAAGAAAATCACAAAGCCTTGAGATTGTCAAGATGGGGAATTGACCTGTACAGTGATTGAAATCCAGTAGTTAAGAGGAGGCGGTTGGACCCCACGAACTGGAAATCTGAAATTAACATAAACTGTTGGAGGAATTACAGATGAAACTGGGAAGGAACTGGACACGTTGAGAAAAAAGAAAAGACGAGTCGACAGACAGGAAGATACGTTCTTTGAAGCAATAGCAGCTGGAAATAATGAGTCTGCCCAGGCAGTCTTTTATGTGGATTTTGGCAAAGAGGTATTAGCGAGCTGTGTTTGGTTGGGAGCCTATGATGTTGGAAGCATTGGTGAGAAGGTCATCAGATAAAATGAGGTTAGTGACGGTGCTCTGATGTTGCATTGTGAGGTCATAGCCCAAGAGGAAACAGGAGAAAGTATCTGAAAGCTGTCATTCGGCCTTTGCAATGCAGATGTCAGTCCGCCAGAAAACAACAGCAACAACCTTGTCAGCTGGCTTGAATAAAATTCAGGGAACAGGTCGAGTACAGGTAAAAGGCCAAAGGCCTGTTCCTCTGCTCCTGAGCACTCAGTTGTTCCTAAATACTGGATGCAGTACTACATAAACACCACTCTTCATTGAAACACACAAAATTCTGATGGCACTTGACATGTTTGATGTCCAAAGCTTGTTTCGTCTTCTGAGATAGCCTTAGACCAGAAGGTAGATTCTCATTATAAGGTCTTACGGATATACCAGGGATGAGGAGGAATTTCGTCTCTTTGAGAGTTGCGAGTCTGTGGAGATTTATCCAGAAGTTTTCTTTCGATGTTTGGTCGTTAACTATAAAAAAAGGATGCTATAGATGGATATTTGATCAATAAGGAGCTGAAGGATTTTGGGAAAAGGCAGGATGGTGAGGTTGAGCGTTATCAGATCACCAACGCTCATATTGAATTGTGAAGCAGGCTCGATGGTTTGAATGGGTTATTTTTGCTCCCTAGTCTTATAATCTCAGTATGAAGCTGTATAACTAACCTGCAGTAATTTAAAAATACCTTTCTCACCTAAGAAAAATAAACGATGGGGGAGTTATTTGGCAGAAATATTCAGAGTGAACTGTGTGCCACAGTCAACAGAGTAAACTAGCCTTTAGCACCCATATTGACACAGGCTGAACTCGGTCTGAAGTCACCTCTCACAAAACGCTATTGTTCTTCACTCTTCCTCATAGCTCATCTGTTTTAGGTTGACACTGATTACGCATTAAGCAATTGCGGTTGATCTCCTGATGTGGATGTGGAACACTTAGTGAAATAATTCTTGCAGTTGATGATGCAATTCTACCTCTGAAAATTAGGCCGTATTTATTAAAAACAAAAGTAACTGTAAATAAAGATTAACAATTACCAGGGTCACATAAACGTCCATTCGCTGACAGAGTGAGCACTGAAGCTTAACACTAGACCACCAGGGAAGCCGACAGAAATCCTCACAGGTGGCCACTGTGCCATTTATTCACGTCAGCTCCCCGTCCCCAGATGCAAGTTTTTTTTTGGCCTAAAAGGCAGCTTTTGCTGGAATGCAAGATATTTCCCCAGAAAATGAAAACAGCAGTTGAGAACTCGGACATGAAATGTATGCTGAGCTGGAATATACTCACCAGCTGCTCATATGAAACATTGAAATCATTCTCATTCCTCCACATCACGAATTCTATACTCTTCAGGGCAATAAGTAAACTTAGCTTAGAAGGAATTAAAAGCTGTGAATTGCACGGGAGACAAGGAGGAGTCGAACCTCCACTCTTCTAGTCATACTCATTAACTATTGCGCTATTGTCCCCACCCTTGCCTAACGCCTACGTTCTGTGCAGTTGTGGTGTAAGCAGTTACTTACGGACAAAAAAAAAAAGTGAAGGCAATGATAACTGGTGTGCACACGGCACAATGTGAGTCTGGAGCTTTTGATCCAAGGCGCAGTGTCGGTGTTAATGTGTCAGAGTTTACTGCCCACTGTTTACACTTGCTCACACATCCCTTTTATCCAGTTAATTTAACAGCTTAATATATCCCTTTTAAACCAATGCAAGCAGTGATTGTCTCTTTACGTGAGTTTTCAGTAGAGGCTGCTCAGTTGTGAATTGTCTGTTTATGCAAAGGCAGAAGGTGATTAGAATTCTCATTGACTAGTGTGCACCAGGCACGAATAGAGCGTGGAGCTTGTGCTCCAAGGCTCAGTGCAGATGCTAATGGGTCAGTTTACTGTCCGATGTTTACACTGGCTCACACATCACTCCTGGTCAATTAACCACAATTAAACACTTCCTCTTGTGAGGTTACTTCTGTGTGTATTGACACTGTTAGGTGGTCCTGAGAAAATGAATACATCCCTTTCATCCAGTTGGTTTAACAGTTTAAAGTATCCCTTTTAAACAGAGACAAGTGGACATTGTCTCTTCCTGCAAGTTTTCTGTGGACACTGCTCAGTTGTGAATTGCCCGTTTATGCGAAGACAGAAGGTGATTGGAATTCTCACTGAGCCACAGTGAAACAGAAAAACACGGAGTTACTGTGATCGACTGGTTAAGGCAATGGGTATCTTGATGGGCAGGAGTACCCACCTGACGGCGCTGTGCCTTACTTGGCGTCCGTCTACTTGACAGGTGATCCTACTTTCAAATCCCTCTTCCTCTGCTGTGACCATTCCTTAACTTAACACCAACAGTAAAGATGTATATAGTCTGGGGGACAGTGGATGTGATATTGCTTCGGGACTTGGGTCACTGATATTCATCATTGATGAAAATGGTACCAAGTACAGATTTCTCATACGGGTATGACACGAACGTATGGACTATCATTAAAACTGAAGGAAGAGGTGACAAAATACAAGAATCTAAGAAGCACATTTCCTAAGAAGGTCCATTAGTTCACTTGAGGACGACTTTGTCGTGGAGTAACTGAGCGAGGAAAAGGGAAAAGTTAACAGCAGAAAGGAAAATTTAAGAAAAGTTGTTAGAAAAGTCCAACAGAGAGCAAATTCCCAAATCAATGAAAAGGAGCAACTCCGTTCATCCAGGGGCATGCAGAAACGTGTTGAACCAGTGTGTTAATATAAGGAAATCAGATTTTCCAAATTTAATTTTCACCCATGCATCTTAGCGGCATGTGTAACACTGATGTTAGTTGAGCAATCTGTCAATACTTGTGGGAAAAACTGTGAACACATCGCATCAATGAAAGAATACGAAAAAGAATCGCACAGACGCCAAAAAAATAACGAAAGTTTCCTTTCCACAGACGCTGCCACATCTGCTGAAGTCTTCTAGCAGTTCCCATTTTTGATTCACATTCCTCCACCGACAACATTACTTTAGGAAACCTTCACAGTGGTAGAATTGTCCAAGTTGTCTTAACTACTTGTTTCCGCAAATACAAAAAACAGGCTCTTCTGAGCATCAACAATGGTTCTGACTGACGTTACTGCAAGTCAGCACAGCGGGATATTGGGTAAAGTTTACAATAAGCAATAAGCTCAGTTAAACTTCATAAGCTGCGATACTGCCACTGTGCAAAGCTGCTGCAGTGCAGCCCATGGAGAGCAGTTCTATCAGAGTCTTATCTTTCACATTTATGGTGGGGTACATACATCGATATCCATCCATCTCTTTTGATTAATCTGCCGTGGAGTTGACCAATTATTAATTTATGCTGAAATTCGATGAGAGGATTCAAACATTATTTCGCAGGCAGAATGTTGAAATGGAAGGAAATTAAGAATGGAAATGACTTAAGAAGCACAATCGCCGAACATCTTCCAGGGTTCCTGCAGTGTCTGTGCATACTTCGCCTCACTAATGAAATAGAGGCTTAGAAACTAAATTCCCAAAAAGGATTTTGTAATAAAAATATGATCTTTGAAAAATGATTGTACCCAATTTTTTCTTTATAAAAACATTAAAACTGAGTCAACCCATCCTAATTTATATGCGTGGGTATTTACAATCTCATTCCTCTTGATGTACAAACGGTTTTGGAGTCTGCTACAGGAACAATGGAAAGGTTTGCTGCTGCTTTAAACAGTCCTAATTAATGCACATCGGCAGTTCGGGTGAACGACTGTTCTTTGTGCTCGGCTGACTTTGAACTTCTGTTAATGGGAGCTTTCCACAACTCATCCTGAATGTTTGAATCCCCTGCCGTCGCTCTGTTCCCGGGGACAATGAAAAAATAAATTGTAAATGGACAAAACGTGTTGATACCGCACTCTCTGTTCTCTCTCACTGCAGATCCAAAATCTAAAGATTAAATATATTCTTATCAGGCAGACGGAAATGTAGAGCCCAGCAGGTAGAATTGCACGAACATTTTAGATAGGAACGCGGTTCGGATCGGTGCTCGATTTTTTTTTTAAATTACAGACAGATTTGATTTTGTATAATTGTTTGCTCATGAACAACAGATTTCGTTGTGATAAGATTAGAGATCGATGGATCACTCCAGGGAAACGGAGTATCAGTCTCATTTCATTAGTTCATTTACTGACAAGTGAAACTAATAACAGTGTCTCAATGGTTAGAAGAATGGAATTCGGCAGGAGATTTTGATCGAGGCGTAAACAAAATCCAATGGCAAATCCCGATCGTCCGGATTACAATATCAAGTATAACTTTCCCTCTAAATGAGTCGCCATGCTGTCTGTGAACAATATATTTTTTTCAGTGCCTCTGGGTCAAAATCCTGGGATTCCCTTGCCAAGCGCGCTGTGAGTGTCCCTGCATCCCAAGGAACTCAGTGGCTCAACAGGTAGTTCATCTTCACCTTCTCCAACCCAAATTCAGATCACAATAGGATTTGCTTTCCCTCAAAAGTCACCAGAGGGAGGAGAGGAATCCGCTGGTTATTACATAACTGATATATCCATACGTAAACAACTGACAAAGGCTCAATAAACTTTCATCACAGGTGAAGAATGTTCATTCCCAGCCAACCCAGCAAACGGAAGCCATGCGTGATTGAGATTGCACGGATCACTGACTCATTCATCAGCTGTTACTGAATCTGTTCATTTGTTTAATGTTCGTCATATCTAAGTTAAATCTCACGTTCTGGTTGATACTTTAAAGGAAGCCAGCATTATCTGGATCAACGAACCGATCGCTCGCCATTCTGGAATTGGTAACATGCAGCTGCAGGGGCAGGGCACAATACCCACAAAATGTTCGACGTCATTCAGTTTACTCCAAAGTTTCACTATTCGTCTCACGCGTACATTTTCTCTGTAACAGTGAAGCAGTTTTAGAACCCTCAGAAGGCACTAAAATATATTCGCTTTTGAGTTGCTGAACTGAATTTTTTTGTTTATTTCAATAATGTATTCATAATGAATAAAGTTACGTGTTCAAATGAAAAGTATCAGATAGCACCGCCAATTTGTGAGCCACTTCAGATCGATTTCTGATTTTACTGTTTGCCTGACACATTGTAATGTTCAGTCATGTTCCGACAGTTTTTATACAGGGTCAATCGGTTCTGATCTCTGCGGTGCTCAGTGCGCAGCAAGTCAACACAGAATCTATCAGTTAAGTTTACAACACTTTCAGCTCAACAGGCTGTTCACGTTATCAAACTCTGAGGAAAACTGGTCTCCTCAGAAATCTCTCGGAGTTCCCAATATTTTGCTTTCTCTTTAGCAGAAACTCCATGGAACCGCTGCGCTGTTAGTGGTACCAGAACGGATTAGGATAGTTGATTTTCGTAGCTGTGGGAATACAGAAAAAAAAACTGGACGTCATCTCCCTCATTCTTTTCGATTGAATCCGGTTTCTATGAGACGGAATCTCCTGGACAACTTACGATAAAAGAGTTTGAATTAATAGTAAATTAAAGGAAAACAAAACACGTCATTATTCTAACAATCGGCCTGTCACCTTGAACAATGACACGTGAAGTAAATCAGCGAATGTAATTCATAATGCATTACACAGAATGCATTGGATGTAATGGAAAGGGCTTCGACAGATTAATCAATAAGCCTTCAATAGACAGATCACATCTTCTAACGAGGTTATTTCCCATTTTACCTCTGCGATTTAAAAGGAAAACAGCAAACGACTGGTGTGTTTAAAACTCCTTCCTCTATCGTGTCGTCTCAATGGCCTCAGTCCTGTCTGTATTTCCAGTCTATCTCTTCGGCTGTCACCCAATCGGGGAACTTCACTTTCTTCTCCTAAACTGTGCTCCGCTCTGGGGCAAGTTTGAATCAGAAAAATATTTTCATTTGTGGAGAATATATTGCTGCCTCGGTGTTCATTTAACAGCTGAAATACATATAAATCCTGACAAATAAGTACAAAAATACACAATTTGTGAATCTACTGGTGAGAAGAGCTGCAGAAATAAACACGGAGCTCCTGGCGACATGTTTGCAGGCCAATTACGGTGAATTGTCCGAAGTTGAAATTGTTTTAGAGAAGATTTGGGCAGAGTTGAATAATTTCAGAATCTCTGTCCTTTGGTTTATGATCAGTATAGACATCAGGAGTCAACCGATGTGATTCGAGTAGATTTTTTTCATCAATTCAACCTTTGAGATTCAAGCTCCTTTGAGCTCGACTTCACAGGAATGGGGCAGCGGGGAATGACAACGTGAATTTGTCATCTGACAACAGGGCCTTGGAGAAAAAGTAAATGAAATGTTGATGCTGAGCAGTTTTGGTTTATGTGTATTTAAATCCAGAGAAGGAAAGCAGTACATGTTGTTCGAGTTCGCCAGTGAGCAGAGCTGTACTCTGACTGTCAGAGCTCAGAGGTATCTGAGAGCTGGCGCTGAGCGTTTGCAGTGTACGTTGGTTTGAAAATCTCCAGGTGGAAGGATTCAACTGCCTATTTTTTACAATGGACACGCAATCCCTTTACACGTCCATTACCCAACAGAAGGGTCTTAGTGCTCTCCGCTTCTTCTGGGAGCAAATACCTGAATCGTCCGCACTCACCACCACCCTCTTCTGCTTGGCTGAGCTCGGCCTCACCTTCAGTAACTTCTCTTTTACATCCTCTCATTTACTTCAGATGAGAGGCGTGGACCTAGGTAACTACATGGGCCAGAGGTATGCCCATTTCTTCATGGGTTACTTGGAACATTCTTTCTGGCAGTCCTATTCCAGCAACGAAACACAACTCTTTCTCTGATTAATCGATGATATCTTCGTTGCTGCTTTACTCTCTCCTCCGGAATTGGCACATTTTATTGATTTCACTTCCACTTTCCATCCTGCTCTCACATCCACCTGGTTTATCTCTGACTCCTGTCTTCCCTTCCTTGGCATTTGTTTCTGTTTCTGGGGATAGGCTGTGCACCGATATCCACAATAAATTCAATAAATCCCTCAGCTACATGGGCTATACATCCACACATCCTGCTTCCTGTAAAGACACCATCCTGTTCACACAGTTCCACAGTCTCCATTGCCAACGTCGACAAGGGAACCTTCGAAATGTTCACTTTCTTCCTCAGCCTAGGATTCCACGATACCATTGTCGACAAGTCCCTATACTGGGCCCAATCATTCTCTCACACTTCTGCCCTTACTCCCTCTCTTCCCTCCCGCAACAGCATTCGTGTTCCTCTTGTCCGTATCTGACATCCCACCAGCATCCACATCCAGAAGATTATCAGACTCCATTCCGCCAACTCTTGCCTGATGCCAACAGCAGACACATATTCCCCTCCCATCCTTTATCCGCCTTCCACAGGGGCACGCTCATTCACTCTTCCTTCACTCCCAACACATTCCCACATAGCTCCATGGCACCCTCCCCTGCAACCGGAGAAGGTGCAGCACCTGCCCGTTTACCCACTCCTTCCCCACTATCCAATGATCTAAACCTAGATTAAGATGAAGCCCACTTCACGGGTCCTTCACAGAATCTTGACTGCTGCATTCACTGCTCGCAACGTGGTCTCCTCTACGTTTGTGAAACAAAGAGTTGTCTGGGTGAGCACTTCACGGAACATTTGTATTCTGTTCACAAGTAAGACCCGAAGCATGTCGTTGCCGGGCATCTTAACACATCACCCTCTTCCCCAGCCAACATCTCTGTCTCTGGCTTGCCGTGGTGTCCCAGCGAAGCTTAAAGCAACCTGGAAAAACAACACTTCGTTTTTGGGTTGGGGTCCCTGCGGCCCGCCGGGCTCAATATCAAGTTAAACTCTCCCATGTCCTAGCCCCCTAAGCCACACACCAGGTCTTGTTATCACATCGCCTGCCATTGCACACTACCTATTGTTAGTCACTAACAGTCCCCATTAACATCTACTCACCCTCCAGGCCAGAGCGTTATCAACCCTTTGTCTTTCCAAATTATTTTCTCTCTCTTACGAATCTATCAGTTATCCTATTATTTACTCCCTGAGCCATCCCCCTCCCTATTTTCTGCATATAAACCGACGTTTTCCCAACTACCATCAGTTCAGTCGAAGGGTCACATGATCCGTCTGATTATTTTCTTCACAGAAGTTGCCTCTCTTGCTGAGCTTTCCCAGCAAATTCTGTTTTTGTTCTCCACTTCAGGATACTCATCTACCTGAGTCTTTTTTTCCAGGTTGAGCATTTTTATTTAAAATGAATCATGTCTGCTCTGCCATGCAGGCAAATTTGCAGAGAATTAAGACAGAATGTGCAAGGTGACTTTATTCAAAACTTCAATTTATCAAAATAATCAACCAGTACTGGTAGAATCTGAAAGACAACTAATAATTATTATGATAAAGTGGGCGAAATATTCTGAATATAAAACATGCATCACCAAAATCCAAAAAAAATTGCTTTTGTATTTGAAAACTCGGCGATTTGACAATGTCTATGAATTCAACTCATTCTGAGCAGTAGCTGACGCACGCAATTGAAATTAAATACAGCCTCCAACACGTACACCAACCGTTTTGTCAATCAGGACTTTTTTTTTTTCGCTCGGGTTAGTCATAACAAGGGCCAGAAGGATCACCACAAAAAAATTCTGTGAAATTCTGCAATTTCTTACATGTTAAATTACGAGGAATGAAAGACTGTCTTCAAGCAGACAATAGTTCTCTGAGCCGCCCAAACCATCTGAACTCAGTTGGAAAACATTTGACAGTTTCCAACACTCCAGTGCAGTAGCGATCACGTGGAGGTGCCAATGTTAGACTGTGTGGTCAAAGTCATAAGTCAAAGGACAATAGGCTACAGTACAACAGGCTTATTTGGCACCACACAAGCTTTCACAGCGCAGTCTCTTCGTCAGGTGTAGTAGCCCCACTGCCTTGTCAGGGATTATCCCAAATTAAGCCTTGCTGCACTTAGAATCAATTTATTTTAATCCTTGTTGCGAGTAACAGGAATAATAGACTTGCAGTTATTTATGAGCTCGTTGATATGACACTAAATGGATGATTGAGTACACATTTTCCCACAGGGGAGAATTTGAACCGTCATCCTACAGTGTAGGCGTATTATAAATGTGTGCCTGCGTTTCAAGCTGTTCTGCAATCTGAACAGTTGTAATGTATTTAGTAGTTGACGTTCACTCATGCAGATTAACTGATAGTACCCTTCCTCTCACTTGGAGCCTGTGACTCCTTGCTTCACAATATGGATTAGTTCATGCGTCATCAACTGGTGTGCCTGAGTGAATGCTTTTCCACACTCAGAGCATGTCAGCAGCCTCGCCCCATTTATTTTCTGCTGATCCATTTGAATGGAAGATAGACAGATACACACACCCGAGTGAGGATGTTGCAGGGCTCTGACAACAGAAACAATTTTGAACTAATTTCATAGTCTTATAAAATGAATACACTAAGTTGTAGAAATCGAAGGAATCTGGGAATGTATTCAAATACCCATCCCTGCCTGCAAACCATTGATACAGTCACACTGGGGAGTGAGCATTTATCTGCTCCGTTTGTGCAAGGGATTCTCTTGGTCAACCAAGATTCAGATGGACCAACGTACACGCCCTTTAGAGAGACTACTCACTTGATCTGATTGTAGAAAAGGTTTGGCAGTTCATTGAAACTGTTGAAACCTAAGAATAAATTACGGTGTTTGACCTGTATCGAGAAGTTTCGAATAGTTCATTGAATTTTCTTAAGAAGTAAGAGTTTAGTTACGATACATAAGTTAACTAGTCAAAGAATAATACACAACTCTTGATAATTGAGGAGGCTTCACTGATGCGAGAAGAGGACCGGGAGAGCATTTCATTAAAGATGAAAAGGCTGTCCGGCCGACATATTATGGATTGCTAACCATTAGCCTTCCTCAATCTTTTCTTGCTCATCTTTAATCTGAAGATAACAGCTCCTTTACATGAATTACTACCTGCAATAACCGCCTGCAGACCATTCCCTTATGATGTGGCACATTCATATTGTTTGGCAATCACCCATTTAAATTCTTGTAGCCACAGCTAAACCGAATTCAAACCATCAGTGCACACTTCCTCACCGTCATTTGAAGCTTATTTTTCATTCCTTTTGTAACCAAAACTCATACATTACTAAACACATTCTTGTTAAGACAGGACATGTTATGCCATATAATCCACTTGACGTCAAATCGATTGAAATCTGTGATCTTGACAATGCTGGTAGATTTTTGTTTTTTTTTTCTGGTCTTCCTTTGAACTTCCCTTTGTCTGGATTTATTTTGGAAGTGTTAGCAATGGGGAAGACTAGATGCTTACGTAGAATACATTTATCATGGAATTTTGCTTCGCAGGGAATATTAGAGTACAACAAAAACTCAGTATTTATGGGATCACAAATCCACTTGCAACATTGAAATTCAGCAGCGGTCAGTCTTAGACAGCAAACTCAGGGTGAAATTTAATTTGTCGTATGAAAACAATAGCATGCAAGATATTGGAGAAATCCTTCACTCTTGGAAACCAGGGACATTTCACACTGAAATCGAGGCTTGATATGTCCGCATATCTGGGACATGACACAGATACTTTCTAATTAAATTGCAGATACATTGTCTCGGGGGAGGGGCAGACGGGGGTATAAACCTGATGAGAATAAACAGACAGATGAAAATGCTAACTGATCTTTCATTGTCATAGAACAAACAACGGGGATGTTGAAAGTTTGCATCAATGTATTCTTCAGCTCATCTCGAAAATTGGTCTGCGTTACTGTATAGAAGAAGATGTTAGTGCAGGAGCGGAGCATTTGGATCACTTTGACCATTTCTTGAAGGATGTACTATGGGTCATTAAAATCCAGGCAGGGGACGAAGGCCCCACCTGTCAGCTGCACGTAAAGGAAATGTCCGACAGAGGTCATCCACAGTGAGAGGAAACTGGAGAGATGGCAAACAGCAGGACAATGGTCTTCTTGTGATTAGCCATTTCCGAGTCTTGTTGATTCACAGCGGCCCGGAGTCTTTTGCAGGCTCTGTTAACCACTAGAAAATGTCTTACAGTCAGGGCATTGAGCAGCAGAATAAGGAGAAAAGGAACAAAGTGGTTTAAGATGCCGTCTAGCCAGACATATTCCTGCCAGACTGGCCAATTGTAATTGCTGAAATTAATGTCACAGAAGCAGGCCAGCCCATCCACGAGACACAGTGGCTGGTCGATGAAATAGAAAGGGATGTTATTGCTACAGCTTTGGGCACAGACAATTCCTATGACTAGTTACGCAGCTTTCTTGGTGTCGTACTTGGTCTTCAAATTCTGATAGGTGATGGCCTAAAAATGGTCCATCGTGAAGGCCACTGTCAGCCAGACCAAGACATCACGAGCAGCGTACACCAGCACAGTGCCGAGTGTACAAGAATGAATTGTGGACAAGATACTGTCACGAAAGTAGATACCTGCAAACAGGTTGAGGATGTCAGACGTGATGATGACATGACAATCAGTAACTGCTATCACCACCAGATCGTCGGTGATGCACTGGGAAAGTTCGCACTTTTCATAGGTTAGGAATATGGTTGCCACCAAGTTGGCTGTGACTGAAAAAAGAATGTCATCTTACTAAAGGAATTTAAACGCATGACTTTGCCCAATCGAATCTGGTACTGAAATCATCCCTGTGCGTTTATTTTCCAATTCAGGATTCAACTTGTTCTAAAGCCGTGGCTGCTTGTTTAGTAGTTACTCCCAAAGACACATGCATTTGCTGCAGTTAAACATTTGTACATCACAAAACTTGCCTTCTTTTTGCATTCAAAACTCATGCCTACAAAAACTGGCTTTGTTATCTGAACCGAAGATCATTTACAATGTTGACCATTGTTTGAACTTGAAATGCTTTATTAAACCTCTTCCTCGTCATTACAATATCGTACTGACATGACATATTCCATAGAGACAGAGAACCATACATCATAGAAACATTCCCTTCAGCCCACCATGTCTAGACTGACCAACAAACAACTAAACAACATTTATCTAATTTACATGCAGTTGGTCTAATACGTCCTATTCCAGCCCTTTTCAGTTCCTTTCCAAATGTACCTGAAGTGTCAAGAGAGTACCTGCCGACATTACTCTTTGGGCAGCCTGTTCCATATTTTAATGACTCTCTGTTTGAAACAATAATCTCAGATCTCTAACCACTTACTTCTCTCGTTAAATGCATGCAACCGAGCCTTTGACACTTCTGTCATGGGGAAGAAATTCTCACGATCTGCCTGTGCCTCTTAAACTTCTGTATATCTTAATCAGATCCTCCTGCACCATGCTCTGCTCCAAGGAAAACAATCGCAACTTGACCAGTCTCTCCTCATAGGGGGCTCTTTTCATTCAAAGCAACGTTCTGATGAGTTTCCTGCAATCACGTACTTCTCATAGTACGGCGAACAGAACTGCACACATTGTACGATCAGTGGCCGAAACAATGTTTTATGAAGTTACCGCGTGGACTTCCCTGCATCTATATTCTACACCCGTGTTCATGAAGTGATGTTTTCTGTATGCCTTGTTCACCAATCTGTTGAACTGTACTGGCATCGCCAGTGATCTATTGAATGTACACAGATATCCCTTTCTTGCTCAGTAGTACTCAGGGATCGACCACTCATTTTGCATATCCTTCTCTGATTAGATCTCCCAATGCATTTCCTTGCACGTATGAGGGTAAAATTCCATCTAACATTGCTCTGCACAATTGATCAATATCAAACTGTAGCCTGAAACTGTCTCGTCTCGATCAACAACACAGAGTTTTGTGTCATCTGCAAAGTTACTAATTATACATTCTACGTTCACATTCAATTTATTAGTGCGCATAACACAGAGCAAGGGTCTGAGCACCAATCCCCCTGGCATATCGGTGGTCCAGGATTCCAATCACAAAATTATCCCTCCACCATAATTCTTTGCATTCTAATTACAAGCCAATTTTTGATACAGTTTTCTAACTTTCCTTTGATCACCTGGGCTCATAAATCTTTGACCAGTCTCTCATGTAGGACCATGTGAAAGGACTTACCAAAGTCCATGTGAACAATGTCAACGGTGCTGCCTCATTAAATATATTGAGAAACGTTTTCCAAAAAAAAAACAGTTAAATAAAATTAGTCAAACAAGATATCCCTCGTTATTCTGAATGCCTCACATTTAGAACCATCCATTTGTAAAAAATGCGACAATTGGAACGTTCACTTGAAACTCTGCCCATTTTTATCTTAGCGAGCGTCAGCGCACCTGAAATACTTGCTACTTATGTTCCTCCTCAAACCTGTAAAATAATTCTCATCATAGAGTAAATAAATACTGTTCCAAGTCAGTGTTGTATTTAAGTGGTTAACGCACTCGGTTTAGGACTCTGACATGTTGCTGTCAGCATATGAAATCTTATTGCCTAACTTAGTTTATATCACTGACTATAATGATGCTCTGGCAGAATCATCTAGAGTTTAAATAGACATAAAGTTAAACACGTTTGCTCGTTCAAATCATTGTGAAAGACCCAGAAATGTTTGGGCGTAAAGGGAGCAAAATTTTAGCCAGGTAGAGGACATCCTTCCCCTCTGCCTTTGTGTTACTGCTCAGACCTATCACACTCTCGGGGTATTTCTGCATGTTTTCATTTGCCGTGTCAAGACGGGTTCAATACGCATTATAACAAAACCATACGGTAGCGTGGAGTTTCAAGTTAAGAGCCTGAAGAGAAAATAAAACAGAAGACCTATGAAAACAATATGATACTTCTGAACAGTTAAAAGCCTTTTTTTTGACTCCCTTATGCTGGCTTCTTCCCAGCCCTGTGTAATGCCTTTATCTGTGATGTGAAACCTGGACTGATACTTGCAGACCTGCTCTGTCTTTGTTTTCTTTTTAAGTGAGGAATTCACTTTAAGAGGTTGGTGAAGAAGAATAAATCCTCATTTCCTGAAAAGGAATCAAAGCGAAGCCATGGTGGTAAAAGAGCAAATTCGTCGTTACGACATTAGAGGAGTTGTTTTACAGGCTTGTATTATTTCTGTATGTAAACGACTCTCTGGAGTCCCAGCACCCTAGATCGAACCCATTGATTTGATTCGCAGTATGAAGACAGATGCTGGACAACTGAAAACAGGGAGAGGAGCGGGAAGAAGTGAAAAAATTAACAGTGGAGAAAATGAATGTGAATCTGGTTTTGAAGTTCAGCCCAGAGATCAGGCACCACGTGAGAAATAAGGATTTACTGATTTGGGGAGACAAGAGATGGTAAGACACATGAATCATTTGAGGTTAAATAAGACAATATTATTCTCCTCATGCCAAATTAATATTACGAAAAATTTACTGAGCTGCTGGGCCTACAAAGCTGGGTTGATGTAATCGGCCATGCCGCGTTATTTTCACGGGTATGAAGTTCGGTAATCTAAGGTACAAGTTCAGGGGAATTGACAGAAGAAAAGGAAACATACAATCCTTTACACATTGAATGTTGTTTTAACGTAGAATTTCCAATGTAAGCGGAAGTAGATTCAATAGAAAAATTTCAGATAATCATTATATAGACGCTTAGAAATGAATAAATTTGCACATCTACAGAATGCGGAAAGAAATTTGGCACTGAAAATAATTACACGGATGTTTGAAAAAGCAGGCATTAACTCTTTTGACCGAACAGCCTCAATCTGTTTTGTGCAATTCTTGATCTTTTATACCCTCCCACTATATTTGTTCCTCGGGAATTCTGTTGCTCAGGCGGCAGTGTTGTCACAGACCTCTCAACATCTATCAGGCTCGGATGCAGCAGCGTATCCTTGCGGAATTTCTGTTCTCCCATGGAGCAGTGAGTTTACTCAGAGCCGAGTCTGCGGCAGTTCCGCCCTCAGCTTGCGTTTGATCTCTGACTCTGGCACGCCTTCTCTTCCCTCTGATATTGAGAGATCACTGCACCCGTCACTGTTGGTCATCGTGTGGCACAGCTTTGAACAGGGATCTCGGACAGACATTTTTCCAGACTGCAGAATTACAAGCACGGAATATACCATGCGGAATCTTCTCGCAGCTCTCCTCATCATTATGACAATCTTCAGTCAGTGTTCGTTTCTCTCCCAGCAACATTCCATTTTCCCCCGACACGGATGATTTGAACCCAGGTATTATTAATAAAGCGACGATGGTAATGATCGTAATTTTTAATGTGTTTTTTTTTAAGATTGGAGTCAGCAAGACACGGTATAGCAGCCAGACCATCAAATGACGGTTAAGGAGGGAGGCAATGTCACACTAACCTGCAGCTTGTAGACAAGCAATTCCAGCCCTTATGTTTACTGGTACATTCAGCTCCCAGGATATCCTCCACAGTACATTGTTTATATGTTTGCAGCAAAAATCATAAATAGGAATCCTGATTTGTCTGACAGATTCTCTTACACATTTACTGAATCCACGAAGATTACTGATTTGGCAATCAACCAAGTCATCTTTTCTGACTCCGTCATGTACTTTTGTTCTCTGGAGCCCACACAGATGCAGAGTTATGGCGTAGCCCCTACATAAACTCACAGTCTCACAGTGCCTGTTACAGCACAACAGAATGTGCATTGACACCGAGAAACAGAAAGAAGAATTCAGCTCTAAAGGAACAGTCGTATACTTCAAGAGAGAAAAACAGTTCATTGTTTTTTTTTTAAAAAAAGATTACCTTTTAACCCAAAAAGTACTTCAATATTTTCCCGTTTGATCCCTCCAGTGAGTAAACTTTATCCATTTCATTTCACCAGCGAAGTTTTAGCAATGTAATTATATCACACTTGCAGTTCAGTCGCTTAGTTCTGAAATACCAGCTTCCCCTTAATCGGAATGGCAGATTGAATATCAAAAATAAGTGATATGCCTTACTCCTTTTCAGAGAATTCATCAGAACATGCAGCAGAGACAACCAACTCACAGACTTCTGTCTTAAGATCCTTTCCCAGGCGTTGAATTAAATGTTTCTTCGAAACTTGTGTGAAAGGTTGAATGAATGGAAGTTTCACATTTGAAATCCACAATAGTCTCTTTCGGACATCCAACCATAATCATTAAGCAGAATCAGATAGGTAAGAGACAAATGTAACGGTGTTCCTTAGAGTAGAACATGCTGTATCGAGAGAAGTTAAAATTTGTTACGCTCTGTATCGTTCACGTCGAAATGTATTACCACGCACATTTACAAATATCATGATTAAGCACATGTTTTGGAAAAAATGCAACCGTTGTCACATTATGCACTGCTGAAATAGGGCGGTGCATCATCTGATTCATTCAAGTTGTTTTAATGAACTTCCCATGCTTTCCAACAGAATTAGATCTTCACCAGCACGTACTGCGGTAAGGACGAGCAACAGCTCTTATTAGTAGGTTAATAAGACCTGTGTCTTTTAAATTAAAGAAGTGAGACCTGAGTGCGAGGCTTTCGCTGGGAATTTTAGGCCTAAAGGATCGCCAGACGTAGGCTTTCATTGACCAAAAGGATTTTGTCGCAGAACTAAACTCATCAACATTGGGCCAGAAGGCATCCAAATACTTTCCTTCACTTCAAATCAATATTTTGATATTTCAGACTACCGATTAAATAGAATATATGCGACAGCTTAATTTTGGAATTTATCAAGTAACATAGCCGAAGTGTTGACAATTAATTAAAACGTATCGAAAGATTAAAAGGTGGAAATCACAGCAGGTCATACAGCATTCCTGAGTAGAGAGAAAGCTAACATTTCATATGGAGATGACTCTTTATCAGAGCTGATAAGGTGTAAAAGGTGTGCCCCGACATGTTTACTCAGACAGATTTGAAGAGAAACAGATACTACCTGAAATAATTATTCGGCAAGAGAAAAGAAGACGCAAATAATAACCATGTTTCTGCTGGCTTTGTGTTCTGGACAATGACACAAAGCAACATCCAATCAGATAACGGTTTCCTTCGTGTACGACTCAAAACGTCAGCAAAGGATGGCGAGAAATAGAGTGAAATTGAAATCCGGAATCTCCTGTGTTTGAGAGATAGTAGGAATTGCAGATGCTGGAGAATCTGAGATAACAATGTGTAGAGCTGGATGAA